AGGTGAGGGCATATGGCTGAGGTGAAGCCAAGGTTTGGCCGAGCTGAGACCTTGCAGTAGAGGTGAGGCCGTGTGGCCAAGGTGAGGTCGTGCAACTGAGGTGAGACCATTTGGTTGAGGTTAGACCGTGTGGTCGAGGTGAGGTCGTGCGACTGAGGTGAGGCCATCTGGCCGAGGTGAGGCCATGCGGTCGAGGTGAGTCCATCTGGTCGAGGTGAAGCCATCTGGCCAAGTAGGTGAGACCATGTGGCTAAGGAGTTGATCTAGTAGGTTAATGTTAAATGAAACAAAAATAATGAGATCGAATGATTGGGCAATTAACTTCTTCTAAAGTATTGCTCACTAGTTCCTTCTGGCTATAAAGGGGGATACTCACTCAACCCCACGGTGGGCGCCAACTTGTCCTGAAGACCGGATGAGCTCCCTAATTGTCCTCCTTAATCCATGTTACATTGTTAACTCTCCCTACTCCTTGTTCAAGCCATACGGGTGGATACTTGTCAAACACATTCCAACATTCAAGTCAGTAATATGACTAATCGGTTAGCACAACAAGTGATGCATACTATGTGCATGATGATATAAAGTTATACCTAGGATCTTTATTTATAGTAGTTGGGATGGACGTTTATCTTTTGTTGGCCTAATGACAACCCAATCACACCCTAATTTGCATTAAGAGCTTAATGAGTCATTACCGTTGATAATTTGACCATGTTGTGTCCAATCAGTCACACTGTTCAGCCATACTAGGTGGCGGAGAGGAAATCGACCTTGAAAGAGAACGACTTGTATGGACGATCAAGGGTGGTCATCCTGGGTGAACAACAAGGTCGTGCCAGATCCTACTGTATGGTAGACATGGGTGGACAATCAAGATGGACGGTCTAGGTGGACAACTTGGTGGATGAAAAAATGATGCAATATCCTACTATACGGTACACAAGGGTGGACGACCAGGATGGACAACCTAGTGGACGACCAAGATGAACAACCAAGATGGACGCTCTAGATGGATGACAGGGTATACAAAATCCTACTTAACGACACATTAATATATTAGTGTCAGATTAGTATTTAAACTGAAATAATTATTGAAAATAATTAAAGTTATATTTATTTTTAATATATATTTATTTAAATTAACAATGGTCAAACCAACACAAATTTTATTTATTTTATATTTTATTTAAATTAGTATGCATTAGAATCATGCTAATTTATATACAAGTTAGTGTATAGGTTTGTAATAAAATAAATATCATAAATTATTTTTAATTCAAAAATCCATATTTAAAGATAACAAAATTATTATAATCTATGTGAGTTTGATTTAACCAATAAGAACACGTACCATTTCTCTTTCACTTATTTTATAAAATCTTCTCAAACTTGTTTTCATATTTCGCATTTATTCATGCTCATTTCCTTACTCATATTTATCTAAACTTATTTTCTTTATAACCATAAAAGAAGTTTGATCTACTTTTCTTTTTCATGAAACCCTTTCGATCCAATTCATAAGTTTATTATTTGTTTTCTCTATTTTCTTGTTTGCATCTTTTATAGACGACAATAGAAGTATTGCGTAAGAAACATTTTTTTCTTAATTTAATATCATTAGCCTCATCTACATACTAATTAAATTATTATTTAAAATAGATTCAATTTAGAGTCCAAAAATTTCTTGGAATAGAACAAATTAACATCAACTTCAAAACTAAACCAGTTTATTTAAAAATAAATTTAAAAATTAGTAATCAATTGGTGACAACTTAGTTTACAATACTTAGAATTGGTCTTAATGTATTGATGTTAATAATTTAGAATTCAAGATTTTAGATGTGTCACATCAATTCAATTCTATTAATTAATTAGCAATGACTTTTACCTTTATCTTTATTTTTATACCTTTAATCACTGTATTATTTTTTACTTTAAGCAACGTTAAACTACACCGCAGATACAAAAAATGTTGTCTAAATATAGTATCTTTTGTAATAAAATTATTCATATACCACAAAAGTTTAGTGAACAAACTTTTAAGAAAATAAAGTTACATTAGAGTTGCTAGAAAAGAAAAATAATTTAGATGAAAATAAAATGGATGACTAGAAAAAAGAGAGTAAAATATAAAAATGAAAGTTACATGTGATTGAGAGAAATAAAAAAATGCAAACAAAAACAGTATAAATAAGTAAAAAAATAAAATAATTCATCTACCACTCAAAATTAATCAATATGTATGATAATTTGTGAAAGTTCTATATATAACTTCTATTTATTTTAATGATATTATACAAACTAATTTTATTACATGTTTTTATTTTTTTCAATATAAATACTTATTAAAAGGTTTATCCATTCTACAACAACCTTTTCTTATCAAAAGTCCAAATTTATCATGAAATTAGTACGTATAGCATCAAATTTCATGTAAATCTTGATATCTATACAAGAAAATATATATTTAGCATAGTTAAAAAAGCTTACTACGATAAGTAAAAACTGATGTTAATCAGTCAGTAATGTTGAATTTGTGTTGTACGATTCTAAAATCATAAACATTAATTTATTAGCATTGAATTTTGAAGACCAACTTAAAGTAGTAAAGGTTAAGTCCACACTACTTCATTACTCATTTTTAAATTATTTTTTACTTAAATAAATTTAATATTGTTCAAACTAATGATAATATATTTTATATTTTAAAATTTATTTAATTTAGATAACACTAAATGAAATCATCTTTTGATATTAATTTAATATATATCAGTGTGACTGATACTAAAAATTTTAAAAAGGTTTAATTGCTTGTTTTGTCCCCAGTTTGGCTGTAACGTGTCAAGTTAGTCCACAATTTTAAGAAAGTTTCAATTACGTCCAAACTTGGTTTAAAAGTGTCAATTTCGTCCAAACGTAGTAAAATTTGCTTCAATCAAGTCCCTTCCGTTAAATTTACATAAACAGACGTTAATTCTTTTTCTCTCTCCTCTGTTGCTCTGCTCTCTCCTCTGCACAACAGCAGACCCTCTCTTTCTTTTGAATATTAAAATAAATTTTAGTGTATGCAAATAGGGTATTAAGCCTATTTTTTAACAAGTTCCTTTCAAGTATTTGGTTTTTTTAAGTCACTTGTTTTTTTCTTATGAATTTATGGAAAGTAAATTGGAATTTAATCAAATTGGCAAGAAAATCTTATTCCTATAGGCCATATATATAAAATTTATACTAATTTCCAAATTTAAATTTTTGACGATCTTCCACTTTTCTTCTATTTCCTTTTCTCTTAATAATATAATAATATGAATTAATTTTAATTTAAAAAATAGAAAATAAAATTTAATTAAAATATTAATATAATTAAATTTTAAAAAGTTAGTTTTTATTATAAATAAAATTATGTATTATGAACAATTTTTTTTGAGTTAAATATAATTTTGTTTTTGAATTTTGATATAAAATTAAAATTTTTCTTTATCTAAAATTTAAATAAATTTTAATCTTAAACTTTAAAACAAATAAATATTATTTTTTAATCTAATTATATTAAAATTTTAATATGTTTCATATTAATATTTAAATTTTTTATATCATTTGATATCTTTCTGTTTGATATCTGTTGAAAAATGATTATTAGACTAAAAAGTTATATTTAATTTTAAAATTTTAAAATTAAAATATATTCAAATTTCGGATAAAATTAATTCTAATTTCCAAAGCTTAAATAAATAATTACTTGAATATGAATATATACTATGTATTCGTTCATAGCTGTTCTATTATATTTTTCAAGAATTTGTTATCATACATGAATGTTAAAAGAATTGCCTATATTTTCTGAACATTTTTAAAGGTATGTGTTAATTATTTTAGTGATAAAATAATTGAAACAAAAATAAAAATAAATAATTACTTAAAATATAATATAACTTTTTTCATGTTTTACTTTTTTGAATTTTTTTGTTTATCTATACATTCTTTAAATTAAAGTATAATTTATAATATGATATATAATTCATATAATTTATGTATTAAATTATTGAATCAGACATTCCAAAAATTATTGAATGAGACATTCCAAATCAAACATTCCAGAGCAGAGGAGCAGAGGAGCAGAGGAGCAGAGGAGAGAGAAAAAAATTAACGTCTGTTTCTGTAGAATTAACGGAAGGGACTTGATTGATGCAAATTTTACTACGTTTGAACGAAATTGACACTTTTAAACCAAGTTTGGACGTAATTGAAACTTTTTTAAAATGGTGGACTAACTTGACATGTTGCAGCGAAACTGGGGACAAAGCAAGCAATTAAACCTTTTAAAAAATATTCTTTCATACAATGTCTCAATCTTCAGCAACAACAAAAGAGTATACAAAAAATAGTGGAAAGAAGAGAAGAATGTGGATGAATATGCTAAGTGTGGAATGATTTATATAAAAAAGTAAAAAAATAAAATTGTAAGAGAAAATATTCATCATCTTTAAATACAAATTATAAGATAAAAAATAATATACAATTCTTGTTTATCTTCCCAAATACACATAAATTCATGACATATAAATTACTAATGAATAACTTAACTACATATGAAAAACATATTACATTAGCATCAATTTAATTTAAATAATACAATAAAAATTAAAATCGATTTATCCAACATTAACTTAAATAAATATAAATACTAAAAAAGTAATATTAACACTAATTAAATTGATATTAATATTATTTAATTTTCAGATTTATTTCAGGTAATATATCAACTAAACTGAGACCATAGTATAAGATTATACTTATTAAAGTTTTCATAGTAAACTCTCAAAAATGTCACTTGAAAGTTAATTTAATATTTAAGTAATGCATAGTATGCACATTTTACAAAATGGCAAAGTAGAACACACCGCATATTAGTCTTCAATACCTAGGTCATAAAAAATACAAATAAAAGCAACAAAAACACAACCACATATTTTACCAAACTTTCTAAAGTATGCCGAAATTTAGAAGATAACACAGCCACAAGGATTATCCTCGTAACCCTTGACATAGTAACCATGACTGTACTGTGGTGGTATCATCTGATAAGAAAGTGGATAGGCTTCATACACCTTGACAGCTACTTTTTCTTTCTCTTTCTCTTTCTCTTTTTCCTCCTCTTTTGCTGCTTCAACTAAAACTATTTCAGTGTGACAACACTTTCGTAGCTTCAACACAGCACACACCGGATCAATGTTCCCTGATATGACCATTTTCTTCTCTTTCAGGTCAACAAAAACAGATTGAATCCCTGCAAAATTATCGACTCTTTTCAAACTGCATGGCATGTGTTATGTTATTTGATACAAAACCAAAACTGGATTGAAAAAGAAAATCACGATACCATGAACATCAGATACTGTTTTCATAGCCTTATGCTTGGTTCTTTCATTGTTCAACTCCACTCTTAGCACCACTTTCTGCTACACAACAAATCAAAGAGCTGCTAAAACCCAACCACTAATACTTCTAACCAACACCACACTTTCTAGTACACTTTTCTTGACACTTACTTATTCATTTATTAAAATAAATTTTATAACTAATAAATTTTATGACTTTTAATAAATTTTAATTAAAAACACGATTTCTTGTGCTTTTAATTCTAAAAATGAAAGAAAATTGAAGTGAAAACACAAGCCTAAGTGGAAACAAATATTTTAAAGATGTGAAAAAACTTAAGAAAAATTATTTGGTTCATCGCATGAGAGTATTGTTCTTACCTTCATCGTTGTTCTATAGCTTCCTTGAGAAAGCTAGATTTGGAATATATGTTGATAAGGATTTTTATATATTTTTCAAGTTAAAGGAATTTGTGAGAAATATGGATGGGAATGAGCGATACTTATAATAGCATATGTGTATAGCTAGTCAACTCTGGAGTCTACCCAATTTAATTTAATTTTTTTGTATAATTATGTTATTAATATAAAGTATGAATGGACTTTTAATAAACACTAATCACTCTTCACTAGTAAAGTAAAGGAAAACGAAACCAATTATTTTCGCTTATACACTGCCGTTCTGTAACCGAAACATATACAAGCGAGACAAAATGGGGTAGGCCTTTTGCATCGGTTTTGAACCGAGGCAAAAATGTGTGTGATTTTGACTCGTTTCAAATCCAACTGAGGCAGTAGAGGGGTTTTATCTCTTTTTTTGTGTTTTTTTTTGTTTTCACCATTCGTTAGGTCAGTTGTTAGCTCTTGGCCACAATCCATCAATGCCCACTGCTTCATCTCTCACCACTATCATCAAAGATTCTCAATTGCGAAGAACGAGGACGACATGCTCCCACCATCATCTGTAGATAATCAATCAAACACCACCACTTTTGCAGAGAATCAATCAAACATAAAACAACCCAATCGAATTCAGAAAAAGGGGACGAAAGGAAGCTTCCTCCTTCACTACGAATCAGAACAGAGAGAAGAAGAAGAAGAAGAACAAGAACGACCACCGCGCCCTTGCACTTGCGTCTCTGATGCGTCTCCGCCGCGCCATTGATGATCCCTCCATTGTGCTTCCATCGGAACAGAGAAAAGGAAGGAAGCCTCCCTCTCGCCAACGAAAGAAAATGGGAGAAAAGAGAGGAGTGGCACAACTTCTGTCTGAAAATGTCTTTGTTTGCGAAATTTAACCCTAAACACATGTTATTACCTCAGTTATTTTTTTAATCGAGGCAATAAGGGTCTACGGTCTCGATTCTATAAAGAACCGATGCCTAAACCTTCTCAAAAAAATAAAAAATAAAAAATAAAAATTTTAGCTATTTCATGCCTTGGTTCTATAAAGAACCGATGCCTAAACCTTCTCAAAAAAATAAAAAATAAAAAATAAAAATTTTAGCTATTTTATGCCTCGGTTCTTTAAACAATCTAGGTAATAGACCTTTGCGATAATTACAAAAATGTCACAGCGTCAGTTTTAGGCATTAGTTCTTTTTGAACCGAGGTATATACGTTTGTGATAATTAAAAAAATGTCATCGCACCAGTTTTAAACATCAGTTCTTTTTGAACCGAGGCATATACGTTTGCGATAATTACAAAAATATCACCGCGCCATTTTTTCTTCGGTTACAACTACATCGATGTCAAATGCTCGAGTTAAAATTTTTTTTTACTAGAGCTCAAAAAACTAATTAATCATTTTTAGTGGGTTTGTTTTCAGCCACATCGTTATAGATTTAAATAACCTTTTTCATTTCTTAAAAGTAATAGTGCTTTAGTTTTAGGTTCTTATGATTTTTTTTCCTTGTGATCCCTATTTTTAACTTTCCCATGCAAACATGTATAATGTTATACGAATAGAATTGTCAAACCAGTGTTGACTTGACGCCATTAAAAATATCACATTTTCTTAATTTGAACTTATTATAATATTTACTCGAATGAAAAATGACTAAAATCAATATTATAACCAACCCTTTTAAAACTCATTATTTTGTGGAAAAAATCGTGATAGTAAACTAAAGTTGATTTGTTTTCTACTAAAAATATATGTAGTCTGTGATTTCGTGTCTTAATTTTGAAAACATTAATTAGTTTTTAGTGTCACATTTATTGTTGGCAGTGATTTCGTGTCCTCATTCTATACTTCAAAACATTAGTTTTTAGTGTCAATTTATTGTTAGCAGTTGTAGGATAAAAATGATTAGATAATAAAGTAAATTTTTTTTTCTACTAAAAATATATATATAGTTTGTGATTTCGTGCCTTCGTATTATATCCTTGAAAAGATTAGTTTTTAGTGTCAATTTATTATTGGTAGTTGTAGAAAGTGAATAGATATTTTTTTTAATAAATATGTTATTTAAACTTTAAAAACAAATGTAAATAATACTTTTAATCCAACAACATAGTTAATCTTTTTTGTTGTTTTATGCCAGTTTCATGTGGACATTTGGATTGAAAGATATCAAAAGTTATAAAAAGTTCAAACACAAACCTAAAATGTTTTTTACATATATAAAAATAATTTATTTCAGTTAAATTAGAATAATTATATCTATTTATTTTTAAAGTTTGAATATCAAACTATATCAAAGTTTGAAAAATAGATAAATTTTAATTTCCAAGATTAAAATATATTTAATTCATAAATAAATAGTTACAAAAATCAAAATAAAAATATTTTTAAAGGATAAATAATATTTTATCTATAAAAATTTGAATAGAATATTTACATAAAAAAATTGAGTGGAATACTAATGAAGCAATGATTTTGTAAAAAAGTGACATAAAGTAGAATGGTCTTTACTTGAAAATCAGAAACCGTGTTGCTTTTATCTACCCTAGAGAGCTCCTTCATGGAAAATGAAATGTTACAAAAAGTGTAATCATTGAAGCTTTTGTTATATCTTTTATCTACCAAAATTTGAAGGTTTATAGCATTTCTGGCACATGTTCGTCTTTCATTCACTAGCCAAGCATTTCTTCTTTAACTTTATTTCACTATTGAAATTTAGGTCATTCACAATATATTTTAATGAGGTTTTCTCTACTCACCATATGAAAAGGCAGCACAATGAGCAGCATGTTTAACATAAGTGATTTTTTTTTATGATGGATCATTACGAATTATAGTAAAACAACCTGAAATANAAAACAAATAAATATAATTTTTTAACCTAATTATATTAAAATTTTAATATGTTTCATATTAATATTTAAATTTTTTATATCATTTGATATCTTTCTGTTTGATATCTGTTGAAAAATGATTATTAGACTAAAAAGTTATATTTAATTTTAAAATTTTAAAATTAAAATATATTCAAATTTCGGATAAAATTAATTCTAATTTCCAAAGCTTAAATAAATAATTACTTGAATATGAATATATACTATGTATTCGTTCATAGCTGTTCTATTATATTTTTCAAGAATTTGTTATCATACATGAATGTTAAAAGAATTGCCTATATTTTCTGAACATTTTTAAAGGTATGTGTTAATTATTTTAGTGATAAAATAATTGAAACAAAAATAAAAATAAATAATTACTTAAAATATAATATAACTTTTTTCATGTTTTACTTTTTTGAATTTTTTTGTTTATCTATACATTCTTTAAATTAAAGTATAATTTATAATATGATATATAATTCATATAATTTATGTATTAAATTATTGAATCAGACATTCCAAAAATTATTGAATCAGACATTCCAGAGCAGAGGAGCAGAGGAGTAGAGGAGAGAGAAAAAAATTAACGTCCGTTTCTGTAGAATTAACGGAAGGGACTTGATTGATGCAAATTTTACTACGTTTGAACGAAATTGACACTTTTAAACCAAGTTTGGACGTAATTGAAACTTTTTTAAAATGGTGGACTAACTTGACATGTTGCAGCGAAACTGGGGACAAAGCAAGCAATTAAACCTTTTAAAAAATATTCTTTCATACAATGTCTCAATCTTCAGCAACAACAAAAGAGTATACAAAAAATAGTGGAAAGAAGAGAAGAATGTGGATGAATATGCTAAGTGTGGAATGATTTATATAAAAAAGTAAAAAAATAAAATTGTAAGAGAAAATATTCATCATCTTTAAATACAAATTATAAGATAAAAAATAATATACAATTCTTGTTTATCTTCCCAAATACACATAAATTCATGACATATAAATTACTAATGAATAACTTAACTACATATGAAAAACATATTACATTAGCATCAATTTAATTTAAATAATACAATAAAAATTAAAATCGATTTATCCAACATTAACTTAAATAAATATAAATACTAAAAAAGTAATATTAACACTAATTAAATTGATATTAATATTATTTAATTTTCAGATTTATTTCAGGTAATATATCAACTAAACTGAGACCATAGTATAAGATTATACTTATTAAAGTTTTCATAGTAAACTCTCAAAAATGTCACTTGAAAGTTAATTTAATATTTAAGTAATGCATAGTATGCACATTTTACAAAATGGCAAAGTAGAACACACCGCATATTAGTCTTCAATACCTAGGTCATAAAAAATACAAATAAAAGCAACAAAAACACAACCACATATTTTACCAAACTTTCTAAAGTATGCCGAAATTTAGAAGATAACACAGCCACAAGGATTATCCTCGTAACCCTTGACATAGTAACCATGACTGTACTGTGGTGGTATCATCTGATAAGAAAGTGGATAGGCTTCATACACCTTGACAGCTACTTTTTCTTTCTCTTTCTCTTTCTCTTTTTCCTCCTCTTTTGCTGCTTCAACTAAAACTATTTCAGTGTGACAACACTTTCGTAGCTTCAACACAGCACACACCGGATCAATGTTCCCTGATATGACCATTTTCTTCTCTTTCAGGTCAACAAAAACAGATTGAATCCCTGCAAAATTATCGACTCTTTTCAAACTGCATGGCATGTGTTATGTTATTTGATACAAAACCAAAACTGGATTGAAAAAGAAAATCACGATACCATGAACATCAGATACTGTTTTCATAGCCTTATGCTTGGTTCTTTCATTGTTCAACTCCACTCTTAGCACCACTTTCTGCTACACAACAAATCAAAGAGCTGCTAAAACCCAACCACTAATACTTCTAACCAACACCACACTTTCTAGTACACTTTTCTTGACACTTACTTATTCATTTATTAAAATAAATTTTATAACTAATAAATTTTATGACTTTTAATAAATTTTAATTAAAAACACGATTTCTTGTGCTTTTAATTCTAAAAATGAAAGAAAATT